GCGGTGGTCGAAGGATAGGGCGACCGCTCACTAAGTGGAGTGACGAGCTGGTTAGACATGCAGGAAATCGATGGATGCACGTGGCTCAGGAACGTGTTTTGTGGCATTCCTTCGGGGTGCCTATGTTCAGCAGTGGACTTGTGTAGAGCTGTTTTGATGATAATTATGATGACCCTGCAGGTCATCCTTGGAACTTCCCGCTATGTTCGATCTCAAAACGCTCGATAAATATATTAACGAACTAAAAGTTAAGCCGTGGTGGCTCAGATGGTTAGCGCTCGCTGTAAATTTCACAGTACTCGAGCAACCCGGATTTGATCGCCGCCGGCACCAATGAAATTGTTAACTGCAATTTTACGTGCTGATTTAACACGTGCTCTGCAGTATAGGAAAACATCGTGAGGAAACCTGTATATCTGAGAAATAAGGAAAAAAATTGGAAGACATGTGAAGTTCGCGAACACGCATTGGGGCATCTTAGCGGACATTTCCTTGCCCTAAAGCCCTCTTAGAAATAAGGGGATGCCTGTGCCCAGCAGTGGAACTTACAAAGGCTGTAACTTATTTTATAGTTAACTCATTACATTAAAAAACTATCCGAGCAGAAATTTCGAAGTTAGTAAAAAATCGAAACTTTTTTGAAATTTTGTGACAACGATAACTTTCAGACGTATCAACCGATTTCAATATAATTGCTGGCAATTTATAAGAACAATAATAAAAATATTTGTAAAAAAAACGATTAGTCTACCAAAAGTGAAATAAACATTTTTTTCGAAAATTTTCGTCACCGATTTCTCTAACCGATTTTGAAGCGGTTCGCAGCAAACGACGTCGTTTTTCATGTGATTTTTTGAAAATTTTATTTTTGAGAACTCTCATAATCTATCGGGCCAAATCGGTTGAAACTCTTTTGAAAATCAATTATAAGAGATTTACGCACGCACTCACCCACGCACGCATGCACGCATGCACGCATGCATGCACGCTCGCATGCACGCTCGCACGCATGCATGCACGCAAACACGTACGCACGCACGGACGCAAGCACGCAAGCACGCACGCACATGCCGGCTCTCGTCACTCACTATAGGAAGCACAGCAGCATAATTCTGCTATTTAACGCTCGTATTTTTTAGTGAGTGTTGTTCTTCCCCGGTCGAGCTGACCCTTTCATGCTACAACCATATAATAGCTGCAGCGTGGCTCTACCCCTAGAAAATAGTGGAAACCCCTTGGAAGTAGTTGGAATAATGTGCCATTTGCTTGTCACATAGCGAAGTCCGCAAGCTCGTAGTGAATAGCCGACGGCAAAGTTTAGGGTCAGAGTGTACGCTTTCTATGTATTATGTTAACTTTTATTTTTATTCATTATTTATGAATTAATTTAAAATATTATCAATGTTTTGTGTGATATGGAAAATGTGGGTATCATAGATGATCTCTTATTAAAAAAATAAAGGTTAATACAGATTAAAAAAATCACAGTGGTTTAAGCAATTTACAAAGTGTGTAACAAACAATCCGTTGGTCATTTCAGGGACACTTAGACATAACATTATGTTAGAGGTTATATGTTAGAGGCATTTTATTTGGACCAAGTGTATAACTTTGTTTAGTTTATTTTTATGAATCCAAAGCAATTTTTAATTTTAAATTCATACGTTAAAATGAAAATAAAAAAAAACTTTAGTCTGACAAATTTTGGAATAAGACTGAGATAAGAAATAAATAATTATAATACTCGTATTATAAAATATTATAATATTGATCCAGCCGTTACAGTTATCTGTTAAACTAAGTCTCTTCCTTATTTGCATGATCATCCATGACAAAAGTTGACTTAAGGCATTTTGGACGACACTCTCCAGTTTGTATTTATTTGTATAGAATGAGTTATAACATAGCCTCATAGGTAAAGAGCCTACACAGCAGCGACCCCGATACATTGCAGCGGCACGAAGCGCAACTCAGCAGAACGTGAGCATTGACGTCAACGAATGCAACCGGAGCTCTGCAATATACCTTTACCTTATTTTACTGTACTAATTAAAATTCATTCTGGATCTAGCATCGATCTGATTCACTCATATTTAAGTTATAGTAATTTTTATATTATAATAAAGTATTATAAATTACTTTCGGTTCTTTTTGGGTCCTTCGGCTGCAGTTAACGTAATTGGTGCAGTCGGTAGAGTACTCAAAAGTTAGTTAGGCTATCGTAGCTTTCAAGCTTTAAACGAGTATTCGAATCTACTACGGGTCAACTGCAAGCCAAGAGGATACATCAAGACATCGATCCCGAGAAAACCGAGATGAAATTTACAACAGTAAGTACACCAGAATTTTTTATAGAGAATTGCTTCCCTTTTCCTAGTGTAAATTTTTCCTGTCAAAATTTTCCATCCAAGGAAATCATCCCACTGTGACCCTACATCGCGTAGGCAGTCACGTAGAGAAAGTTTAAACTATAATAGAGATTTAAGTTGTTATTTAGAGTTAGATATAATGAGGAATTAAAAATGGCCCACGACCCTGACACTATTTTCAAAGTTTTACGCCCAGTGCCAGAGTTTGACGGTAACCATAATGTACTAACTAGATTTATAAAATTATGTGACCAAATATGTGCTGCATATCTAAGTAATGAACCTGGCAGTGAACTATCGAACTTATGCTTGCTTAACGGTATATTAAATTAAATAACTGGACCCGCCGCGACTACTTTAAATTAAAATTGTATTCCTGAAAGCTGGCAAGGCATTCGTACAGCTTTAATCAATAACTTTTCGGACCAAAGAGACGAAACTGCGCTCTATAATGACCTCTCATTAGCTACTCAGGGGAACAGCTCTCCCCAAGAATTTAATGCACGATGTCAGACACTGTTCAGCACTATCATGACCTGTGTTACGCTTCATGAAACCTTGCCTACTACAATAGAAGCCAAACGTGTATTATATAAAAATCTAACGAAGCAAGCTTTTGTGCGCGGTTTAAAGGAGCCACTTGGCTCACGAATACGTTGCATGCGTCCTGATACCGTTGAAAAAGCCTTGGAGTTTGCACAGGAAGAACTGAATGTTATGTACTTGCAACAACGCGGTGAACCTTTCGCCGAGAGGAAACCTCAAGCATCTAAGCCTCTCCAACCTAGCTACATGACCTTACCTTTGCAAAAACCATTCAGTTTTCCTGCACCGATACCAATGCCCAATTTACAGCGACCTTTACATGTACCACAGCAGCAAGGTTTTAGACCTAACGTGCCACCACAGTATAACATGCCTACGAGAACTCAACAAATGTTCCGCGCTTTGCCACCTAATTATAAACCCCATAGCCCCATACCTTTAGATTACCAAATAGGAATCCACCCCATGGCTCAGGTCCGAAGCCTATGAGTGGGGTTAGCCATTACGTACCTAAACCAATGCCTCCGACAGGTCTGACCGGTCATGATTGGCGCAAATACGGTAACCCGCCGCCTTCAAAAGTAGGGAAGTAAATTTTAACGAATGTGCTGATTACGATAGTTACTATTATCCTGAACACCAATACGACTATTACGACTATAATGACAATGACGACCATACCAATACTGTAACCTATGACTATGACGACACACAGCATTACTAATACCATGACGCAACTGAAATAAACGAACAAGATAACGTAGACTGCCAACCTTCTACAAGCAGTTCGACTCAGGATTTTCAAAAGACTCGTTCTTCAAAAAAGCCAAAATAGAAGTAAACTTACATACGCAGAGACAGCTTCCATACATAAGCATTTCTAACCCTCCGTAAAAAAAATTAATAGATACCGGGGCGAATCAGTCCTTCATTAATCCAGAAGCTATACAAAAATATTTTTCACATATACCTTTTAATTATGATCCGTTAGAGGTAACCAACGTGCATGCTACAACTAGGAATAATTATTCGATAACTATTTCATGCTTTTCCGAATTCCAAGAGCCTGATAGCATTAAATTATATATTTATAAATTTCACGACTACTTCGATAGCCTTATTGGTCGCGACCTATTAGAGAAATGGGAAGCTAAAATAGATCTAAAGGATAGATTAGTTGTAACACGATTAGCTAACAACCCCATCTTAATGTATAACTCTAGGAATATTAATTTTTACGAGGACGTGATACCATCCCAATCTTCAAAATTGATAAAACTTCCTATTAATGTCCATGACGGAGAAGCCTTAGTTAGCGAACAGTACATTTCTAATTGCGTCATAAACGAATGTCTAATATTAGTGTCAAATAACCGCGGTATTATAGAGGTATTTAACCCGACTCTGCACGATATAATTTTCTCCCTAGATCGCCCAATATGTGCCGAGACGTATAACATCGAGTCCTCTCACAACGTTCAACCACGCCCACATTACAAAGAAGTATTATCACGTTTACGCACCGACCATCTAAATGCCGAAGAACGCGCTAATTTAGAAAGATTATGTGCCAAATACGCTGACGTTTTTTATATAGAAGGCGAACAACTCACATTTACTAATAAAATAAAGCATAGCATCCGGACCACTGATGAGATACCGATATATACTAAAAGCTATCGGTACCCTTACGTTCATAGAGACGAAGTTAAACATTAAATCAGTAAAATGTTAGAGCAAGGTATAATTCGTCCGTCCGAATCTGCAGGGAGCTCTCCCATCTGGATAGTTCCTAAAAAAGTTGATGCTTCTGGCAAGACTAAATGGCGACTCGTAGTCGACTTTAGGAAGCTAAATGAAAAAAACCATTAGTGATAAATACCCAATACCGAATATATCGGATGTACTAGATAAATTAGGAAATTGCCAATACTTCACAACCTTGATTTAGCCAGCGGATTTTACTAGGTCGAAATGAACCCTAGTGACATATCGAAAACCGCATTCAACGTTGAACATGGGCATTTCGAGTTCCTACGGATGCGCATGAGCCTGAAAAACTCGCCTTAAACATTTCAGCGTGTCATGGATAACGTGCTCCGTGACCTCCAAAATACAGTTTGTCTCGTGTACTTAAACGATATTATTGTGTTCAGCACTTCCTTGCAAGAACACATGGTAAATCTCGAGAAAGTATTTCAGAAACTACGGGAATCCAACTTTAAAATACAAATGGATAAATCCGAGTTTCTTAAATTAGAAACCGCTTATTTAGGACATATAATTAGTAAAGATGGCATTAAGCCAAATCCTAGTAAAATATCAGCCATAGAAAAGTATCCATTACCCAAAACCGCAAAAGAGATTAAACAGTTTTTAGGCCTTATAGGTTATTATCGGAAGTTCATCCCAGACTTTGCTCGAATTACTAAACCTCTGACACAATGTCTAAAAAAAGGACGAAAAATAACTCTTGACACAGACTTTATTAACTGCTTAGAAAAGTGCAAGACTCTCTTAAGGCTTTAACTAGCCTGAATGACCTTGACGAAACGGCGATCGCAGAGATTTTAGCCGATGTCAACACCGTCTAGCAACTACGTTCTGTATTACTTATAAAAGTGCAAAGATTAATAGACTGCAGAGATGACAGTTATATAAGTGACATACTGCCTGTTATACTTGCGCATCACTAAGAATTATGTCGCGGTTACGCATCTTCAATTACATTGCACGGTGTGGTGCTGTAGCTTTGTCCGGTAGGCATCACGAGCTATCAAGTGTTCAAGTTTCAAGTACGTAAGAATTTTTATTATATATGTTAAATCGTATTTATTTGTATCGTATTAGTAGATCTGGGTCAAAGCGTTCGCTGTAAATATTTTGCCGGGTTTGATCCCCGACAGCACGAATGAAATTTGTAATTGCAATTTTCGTCAACACGCATTGGGGAAGCACGGCGGGCATTTCCTTGCCATAAAACCCACTCAGAAATAAAAAAAGAGTCCTGTGCCCAGTAGAGGGACTTGTATAGCCTATTACTTTACTTTGTAGCAATATTTATATTCGTTTCAGATATAGAAGGGTACCTTATGCTGACGAAAACGTAAAACATCTTTGTACCTAGATAAAACGTTCGAAAGATTGTCAGTCATGTCATACGCCACATTTTCTATAAAGCGTAGAACATTGCAGATAGGGCAAAATAAAAAATAATCCAATATATTATGGGAACTATTTATTAATAATATATACATTTATAGGTATTTATAATAAAAATAAGGAACAAGCTGCAAGGTTCAACTAATAATGTTTTTTGTAAACACAATCGTAATATTCCTGTTTTAATTTTTACCAATGGTTAATTGATGAAACGTAGTCCAGATCACTTCATATAAAATATATTTAATTAAAATTGTCACGTGACCTATTTGGCCTTCTACTTACAACTCGGCGGAAATTTGAAAAGAAATTTTGTCTTTTCACACAAGTATTCTTTACAACTGGCGTGGTTTCAAAAAGCGTGATTAAGTGTCAGCGGTATATAATCAATTAAACACTGAACTTTATTGTAATTTATCTTTTTGTTTATTTTTGTTATATCTTCTTAAAAACTGACGCCATCTCACTATTTTATTATTTGTTTTTTTTTTGTACGCATAAGGATAAGTTAGACTAAGTTAGATTAACTTGGACAAGTTTATATTTTTTTTAATTTTATCACAAAATTTCCGCAATAAATTATTACCTTTTCTACAGTGATTCTCTCCTCTTAGTTTCGGCGTGACTGTAGGATGTTATAGTGAGTCACCGTCAGTTACTAAGCGGCCATAAATCATTATATGTATGTATAGACATACATATATACATTTTTTGATTTTAATATTTATGTTTTTTGAATTGTGATTGATTTTTTGAGATCTGGTAAAATTATTTTTTCCATACCAATTGATGGGCCTGAGTATAATGCCAGTTATGCTCTTTGGCTGAAGTTATTTTTTATTTTATGCTCAATTGCAGACAAAACAATATTGATTGCGCATTTCTAAAACAAAATTTTACCTCTTCTCCTTCTTATAATAGCTCCTGCACCTAACACGGCGGAATAGTTAATATTATCTATAAGACCATTTGTGAAAACAGTTTTTGTTAACAGTTATGAGTGTAACATTTTATCAGCTGCTTTGTTTATAGTGCCTTGAGCAACATTTTGCCGGTTTCTGTACAGAAAATGATGCTGGCTTTGCCAATACGGATGGCCGCTACCATTGAATATAATACCCGCTATGTTACACTTATTTACATAGAAACTTTAATTACTATTTGCATAAAATTCTAAATAGCACTTTTTACACAAGAAAGTAAACTTTTAGATCAGTCCATTTTGTTTTTCACTAATTAAGTAAAAAGTAAAACAAACCAATAGGGCCGGGAATTAAAATTTCTTGCAACTTTTTATAGAAAAGCATGACCTTATCATAGTATAAAAGTCAATCATTTAGCCATGTGATAAAACTTTTAAGTGTGCCAGTCAAACATTAATGATGATATTCGGGTCATTATACTGGAAATAGTCTTTTAAATATTTTGTAGTACAATTGAAAATCTTCAGTGTGATTGACCGTGTATATGACTTTTATAAGTCTATGTTATTTTTGATGAAATTGATTATTGCAGATAAAAGCCCTTTCACATTATATTTTAGTCTCGAATTAAATTAATCAAAGTGAAAATAATATTTTTTTTAATTCATTGAACTTTTTTAAGATTTTGTTGAAACTCTACTGGTAAAAAAAACAAATATATACATTATAAAAAAAACAAATATAATTATATATATATATATATATATATATATATATATATATATATATATATATATATATATATATATATAATAGTTCTTGATAAAAATAATATATGCGCGTTCAAGAATTTCTAATGTAATTCTTGGCGTAAAGCTAAGACGTGATAATAACTGTAAACAATAGAATAACAAAATAATGAAAACATTTACATTTACATACAAAACATTTACAAAAATACTTGCTTAACAACTTAATAAATATTATTTGACCGTAATAAAATAAGACAAGGTAGTCTTGGGCATGAAAGTAAAAATAAATATTTTCGATTATTTTTGCAATATCTAACAGCCGGATCAGCGGGCGATTCTGATCCATCTAAAGATGCAAAAATTAAGCAAGCACTGTCAAATTCAATAGAAGTGACAGAAAAACGGTTCTTGATATAGAAATGTAAATAAATTATTTAACCTATAAAGTAAAATCACTTTATTACAAATCAAAATAGTCCAATAGCTTCATTAACATGAGACATAATTGTACGAGTGCTTAACATTATTTTACTGAAATCTCAGAAGGTTTTTTTTTTCAATAGAATAAGGGTGACAAACGAACACACAGTCCACCTGATGGTAAGTGGTTGCTACGGCCCATACACATCTACATTTATTCTTGATTACGTATCAAAATGTAGATGCGTTGTCACCCGTGAGGACTAAGATGTAATGCCTCGTTTCCAGTAAAAAGGTTCTCCGGTTCTCTACACTCACCATACGAAACACAGCAGGGTCAAACTGCTATTTTACATGTTATTCCGTGAGAGCGTGGCCCTTCCCCGGTCGAGCCGACCCATTCGTGCTACAACTATACCTAATAAATATAGCTGTAGCATGGCTCTACCACGTAAAAAAAATTGACGTTGAAAATTGAAGTATTTTTAGAAGGAACTTTGCAATTATTTTCTATTGAGTTAATTTTTGTGGAATCGTGTTTTGCAAACCGCCACCTAAAATACGTACAATTTTTTTCGATAATGACGTGAAATTACAAAACGACCCCCATGCATTTCAATGTGGCTCTATTTAGCCTCTTAATATGAACATACCTCGGATTTCAGAGATAATGGAAGATATAATATTATATTATTACTGTTCCGTGTGAGGCAACCTTTATACTTATATACATATTCTCATCATATTTTTATGGTTGGTTAGAAAAATTATATCTAAATGCAAACTTTCACAGGGTCAATTTTTTTTTACTATTTTTACCCAGCAAGTAGTAAAGCAACTACAATCCCATCGGTAAGTGGTTATGTAGTCTAAGATGGTGAATTGCACTGACTTAACAAAAACCTATTCACTCTTGCCTAATAGTACTAGGTAAGTACGAGTATTATTTGCGACCTATTTGTGTGTGTGTGTGTGTATGTGTGTGTGTGTGTGTGTGTGTGTGTGTGTGTGTGTGTGTGTGTGTGTGTGTGTATGTGTGAAGAAAAGTGTATGAGAATACGTGAAGAGGAATAAAGGTTGAGTACTAATGCGCTTACCTGTACGAGGTTGCCACTCGAGGATCTTTCTTCCTATTTTTTATATGTTTTCCAAGTTATATAGCTAGCCCATTGCCATTTCACTGTACTATTCCGTTGAGCTATGTCAGTTACTCTGATTCTAATGCAAATACCTTCATTTCTAACTTTATCACGTAGAGAAACCCCTCTCCAATTTAAAATTTTTACATTTTTTAGATGATAGTTTGTCTAACATAAAAAAAAACCATAAACCCAAGAATGTCTTTATTTAGTTATTTATACTTAGGTAAGCACCATTCTTTTATTTATTTAAATTGTTTCATTTAATTTGATAACAGTGTACCTAAATGTAAGTATTTGTATCTTTATTTCTCTCCCCAATAATATTTTATAAAGTCATACTTATAAAAACAGCGTTTTATTGTAATACATAATTATAAAATTCATTATCAACTAATTAATAAAAATATGCAACAATAAAATTACATAGGTATTAAAAACTATCGAAATCTAAGTAACGAGAGCATATTCGTCGTTCCACATCTAAATTATATAAAAATGCATTTTTCAATTTCACTAATCAACGTCGCCGCAAAAATTTCTTCTTCTTTGGGCACTTTAAAAATTCATTTATTTAGAAAATAATATTTACAGTTACCAGTGTACAGATATTAACTAAATTAAGTATTTCTAGTCATAAAAATATTTATAATTGAGTATAAACTTTTAAAAAACTAATATATATTTGAACGAAGTCGCTCCAACACCGACGTGTGGTCCACCCTCGACGATGTCCGAAAACGGACTGTGACAGCGCTTACATGGCGCATAAATATTCAATTTCAGGGGAAAATGATATATTCTCTTATAAAACGGGTAATAAAAATAAAACTCTCAATTAAAAATATTAATATTTTTAAGACTTTTTTTTAGTGTAAGAACTATTTAAAAAGCTTGTGCCGTTTTGGAGAAATATTGCAAAATATGACAAAGATAGGTACTCTTTGGGGATTTTTTTTCTAATAAGGGTTTGACAAAAATACAATTTTGTTAAATTAAAAACATTTACCAAATCTTCTTCTGTTATCTTGTATTTTTTCTTTGTGGATTAAATGAACAGTTATTGAGATTTTTTTACTTAAATATCCTAGATTTAGGCATTTCAACCACTGTTAAGGCCTTAACTAACGACC